GGGCTGCCCGCTTCCACACTCGCGATTGGCCAGTACCCCCGTCGGTCAGCCGTGCGTCCCGCCCAGCCCCGCATTGGGTTGGCCGGAAGTACTGCCACTCGGAACTAGCCCCGCAGAGTCCTCCTCTCCTCATTGGGCGAGGGGTCTAGGCCCTCTGGAGATACCTCTCTGCATTGGCTGCACTAGGGTCCACCTGCCCCATTCTGCGTATCTCGTACACGATTGGCCCCGGCTACTGTCGCTTAGGAAGAAGCCCGCCCGATTCACTGCCGTCCTACTGGAGGGCTGACCATTCCAGGTGCGTCTCCGCCCCTGGCTGCCTATTGGCAGCTCGAAGCTGGAAGCTGCTGCTCACTTATGCAAATATAAGAAGGCTCAGCTTCCCTAGGTGGGCGCCTCGAGGAGTACCTCCTGGACTTAAAGTGAGCTTGGGTGTAGACCCGTTAGCGCTGTTTTCCCAAGCCAAACCCCAATGTCAGTGATGCGGTGCAGAAGTCACAGATTGGGACGCTACCCCAAACATTACGTCATCTGGTGGACCGTTTCCCCGCGGTCTTCTCACTGTCTAAACCGCCACATAATCCGGATGGATAGGGTCCTGACGCTGGGCAGCTCCTGGGCGGCAGCGCCACCTATGGCCCCTCCTTTGTGGGAGGGCTTGGACGGGACGTGGGACTTGGAGTGCGGAAAGAACTGGGACATGAAGGCTGGGACGCGCTTGCGGACCGGAAGTGGGGGAAGAGGTGACGTTCGAGTGCTGGCGTGGCCTGGGCTGTTTCCAAAGGTATCTTAAAGGAGAATCATGACGGGCTTCCTAAGCGCGGTAGAGAAGGACCCTCACACCCATCTCCCATTTAAGAGCGCTCCCTTTCGCACCTCCTAGCTCGGGATGGGGGTGGGGTCGAGGTCGAGTTTTCCCGCGCTTTGTTGCTCCGCCCCCGAAGGCGGGGGAAAGGGAGGAGTTGCTGGGAAAATGAATCGCTCTGATAATCTAATCAGCACGCGCTCGCAGAGCTGATCTGCAACCCCGGTGTGCCACCTGCGCACGCTCTCTCCTGCTGGCGCTCAGCGGCTCAATCCGCGCAGTGTGGAGAGGGGTTCCGGTTACCCTGCCGTGGGGTCCCAGGACACTGGACCACCCTGGGCTCTCTGGCGCGCCCTAAGATTTCTGTAGAGAATGAAGACTGCAGCGAAGTGCAAATGTGAGCTGCTGAAAGGGAATCTTGGGGCCGCTGCATACCATATGGTTACTCCGCTCCCTGAACCTGTTTTTCTCATGGGTAAAATGGGGGTTATGATGCTATCCACATGACAAGATTACTTTTGTGCGGACCGAAAGAGTCTAGAATGTAAAAGAGTTTTGAAAAGGGGCTGGCAAAGGGACTAGTGAGCACTGGGCCCTCTCTTTCTCTGCCGCCTGCAGTAGCTCCAGCGTCCCGCCTCCTTCCTTCCCTGAACACAACTAATCAAGAGTCGTGGCCAGCAGGTGGCATGGTGGTTGGGGGCGCTGAACTCCCACATGTCTTGGACCTGGTGGCTTCCTTTCTCACTTCCCTCTCTCTCTCTGATTCTCTCTGGTCAAATTGGAAAATAATGAAAAATAAAGTTAAAATAATTCTTAAAAAAAAAAAAAAAAAAAAGAAGAGTCGCGGACAGGAGGTATCCAACAGGGAATCCAGTCCCATTTCTCTTGGGGGTCTCCCAACGTGTACTATTTACAGACTTTTTACTATTAGGACTTTATATTAACCAGTTTACTCCTTCCCCAACCATGGAGGGAGGCACATTTTACAGAGGAAGAAACAGGCACAGACATGGGCTAGGTGACTTATCCAAAGTAAAGATAGCAGAATTAAAATTCTGAGGGTTGGGCACCAGCAGGTGGATGGTGGTTAAAGAACTGGACGCTCCCACATGGCCAACCACAGTTCGAGTCCTGGACCTGGTGGCTTGCTGTCTCACTTTCCTTCTTTCTTTCCTTCTCTCTGTGTCTCTCTCTGGTCAAATTAAAATGAATGAATAAATAAAATTAAATAATAATTTTAAATAAATACATAAAATTCTAAGGGTTTAGGACCTCCCAGTGGCCTAGTGGTTGAGGGAACCAGATCCCACATGGCCAACCAGATTCTATTCCAGGCCCCAGAGGCTTGAAAAGATGCCATGCACAGGGAACCGGCAGTTAGCGTAATGGCTATGTCGCTGCACTCCCACGTAGTCGATCGCGGTTCGCGTCCCAGACCCGGTGGCTTAAAACTCATGCTGGGCGCGTGTGCGTGCGTGCCCAAGATCCCGAGAGGAGAATGGAGGAGAAGGGATTGTGGCGTGACCATCCCCCCTGGGGGGTGATTTCTTGCTTTCTGTCTCTATGTCTCTCTCTGTCTGTCTGGTGAGCCCACGCGCCCTATAGCAAAAATCTCTCCAAAAAAAAAGATGCCATACACTGTGCACGCCTGAGTGCCTAAAATCCAGCAGGAGGGAGAAAAGGAGAAAGGATGACTGTATTGTTGTAGTAAGAGGACATCCTAACAGAGCCGAATTATTGGAGCTTTATCACCAGCGGCGTTTGGGAGGACTCATGTCTCTCAAAGATCCTGCAGCCCTGAGTGGAAGGAGAGGGGTGTTTATAAAGGCAGAAATCACAATCATTTCTGGGTTGACATGGAGATTACAAAATGAGCGGGTGGAGGAAAGGGAGTGGGGTGCCTATGTGAAAGCCAAATAGAGCAGGTTAATAATATTTTTTTTGAGAGTTTTTTTTTGGTTTGTTTGTTTGTTTGTGTTTTTTGTTTTTGTTTTGCTATAGGGCACATGTGCTCACCAGAAAGACAAAGAGAGACAGAGAGATAGAAAGCAAGAAATCACCCCCCAGGGGGGATGGCCACGCTGCAATCCCTTCTCCTCCATTCTTCTGTCTCTAGCGAACATGTACCCTCTGACAAAAATAAATGAATAATTTTTTTTTTAATAAAAAGTCATAAAGGTGGGGCCAACAGGTGGCATGATGGTTAAAGTACTGGACTTCCACAGACTGGGTACAGTTTGAGTCCTGGACCTGGCAGCTTGCTTTGTCATATTTTCTCTCTTTCTGGTGGGCCCTGCAGCAAATTTAAAAAAAAAAAAAAAAAAAAAAAGAGTAAATAAATAATTCTTTTAAAAAATTTTAATTAAAAAAAAGTCATAAAGAGGCCAGCAGGTAGTAGGTGGCATGGTAGTTAAGGCACTGGACTCCCACATGATCAACCATGGTTCGAGCCCTGAACCTGGCACAGCCTGACACTCATGCTGGGCATAAGTGTATGCATGCCCAAAATCCTGAGAAGAGAATGGAGGAGAAGGGATTCCAGCATGACCATCCTGCTTGAGGAGTGAGTTCTCACTTTCTGTCTCTCTGTCTCTCTCAGGCAAGCACATGCACCCTATAGCAAAAATCTCTCTCAAAAAAAAAAAAATAATATATCGAGATCAGCAGGTGGCATAATGGTTGCATCACTGGACTCCCATGTAGTTGACTGTGGTTCGAGTCCCAGACTATGAGCTGAGTCCTAGGCTGGGTGGCCTGAAAATCATGCCAGTCATGTGTGTGTGCATGCCCAAGATCCTGGGAGGAGAAGGGAGGAGGGGTTGGAGACCCTAGGAGGAGAAAGAAGAAGGATAGAAGATCCTGGGAGGAGAAAGCAGGAGGGATAGAAGATTCCAGGAGGAGAAGGAAGGAGGGATTGAGGTGTGGCCATCCCCACTGGGAGATGATTCTCACTTTCCCTCTCACTGTCTCTGTCTCTCTATCTCTCCAACGAGTACACATACCCTAGGGCAAAAACCTATGTCTCAGGGTCTGCAGGTGACATGATGGTTGGGGCACTGGACTCCCATAAGGCCAGCCACAGTTCGAGTCCCAAACCTGGCAGCTGGCTTTCTCACTTTCCTTCTGTCTCTATCTGGCCAAAATGTCAAAAAAAATTTTTTTTTCTTTGAGAGGTTTTTGCTATAGGGCACATGTGCTTGCCAGAAAGACAGAGAGACAGAAAGCGAGAAATCACCTCCCAGGGTGGATGGCCACACCGCAATCCTTTCTCCTCCATTCTCCTCTCATGATCTTGGGCATGCATGCACATGCACCCTGCGTGAGTTTAAACCACTGGGACCGGGACTTGAACCACAGCTGACTACATGGGAGTCTAGCGACATAGCCATTACACTAACTGCTGGTCCCTCTTTGGTCAAATTTTAAAAATAACAATAAATAGCTCTCTTCTAGTTGCTAAGATGTCCAAAGGAAAGAAGGCCAAGGGACATAAGGTGGTCCGGCCCCTGCTTTCGTGAAGAAGCAGGAGACTAAGAAGGGGGTCAATCCCCTGTTTGAGAAAAGGCCTAAGAATTTTGGCCTAGGACAGGACATCCAGCTTGAAAGGGACCTCTCCTGCTTCATCAAATGGCCCCCAACATCCACCTGCAATGGCAGAGGGCCATCCTCTACTAGCGGCTGAAAGTGCCTCCTGTAATTACCCAGCTCCCCCAGACCCTGGACCGCCAGATGGCTACTCAGCTGCTGGAGCTGGCCCACAAGAGCAGGCCAGGGATGAAACAGAAGCAGCAGCACCTGCTGGCCCCGGCTGAAGAGAGGAGAGCTGCCGGCAAAGGGGAAGTCCCCCTAAAGAGGCCTCCAGTCCTTCGGGCAGGGATCAGCACTGTCACCGTTGGTGGAGAACAAGAAGGCTCAGCGGGTGGTAACTGCACATGACATGGACCCCACTGAGCTGGCCCTCTTCCTTCCTGCCCTTTGTCAGAAGATGAGGGTTCGTTGTGCATTATCCAGGGGAAGGCCATGTTGGGACGCCTGGTCCACAGGAAAACCTGCACCACTGTCGCCCTCACACAGGTAAACTCAGGGGACAAAGGCGCCCTGGCTAAGTGGTGGAAGCCATCAGGACCAATTACAA